ATGTGCTATGTCGTTAGGCTTTCCTCTCTAAGTATGGTCAACGGATTCTTGTTTTTTTTTCTGTCTCAGGAGGGGGAAAGGGGCTGTGTTTTTGCTGTGTTTTTTCCCCCTCTCCAGAAAAGGGAATTCCGGACTTCATAGCACATGGGCCAATTATTCGAGTTTTTACGGTAGCTCCCTCTAGGGAGTTTGGCGGTTTGATTGTGGTTGTGATGGCGGTGATGGTGTTTGTGCAACGGTAAACATCGACTTGTTGAGCCGCGCTTTTTTTTTGTTTTTATTCTGAGTGTGATACGACTACCTGTATTGTGAGTCAGGAAGTGAGGTATGGTATCATAGATATTATTTGGTATTTGGTTGGTTGGGCTGTTGGGTAGCGATCACTTGCTTGTCTAGCTGCCTTAGGGAGATGTGAATAGTGCTGTACGAGTACCATACGGTATATACTATGCACAGGGGTGGACGCCTCGTTGCGGATTATGATGCTGGGATGTAGACTATATAATACGTAGGTAGGCACAGCGCTGTACTATGGTATAAGATAGTTTGTTCTCAAGGGCTGACTTGGGGTTTGGGATATGCGGTGTTCCATAATAGAATAGCGTTCTCTGCTACGGTGCATACTGTGCTCTTGCTCAATGTACTGTATGGCACAGTGTTTCGTTTGTGGAGGGGGGGGGAGAGATGTGTGATAAGTTAGTAGTGCTTCCCTGGGTTGGATTGAAATAAGATGAGGTTCTTCTCCGGGTTGGCAAAGCGACCGGTAACTAATTGTAAAAAGTGACCCCAACTCGGCAATCTTCGAGACTCCATTTTTCTACCATAGACATGTAGTAGGTATGTCGGTGGTCCCAGCGACACGGAAGCAAGGAAATTAGATACCCTAGGAAGAGGGGGAGGGAGAGCTCAGGAACGAACAGAAGAGTACCTATGAGAACCCGCCCCGGGGAATAAGACGGGTAAAGCAAAGAGAGAGAAAAGGTGCCTCGAAACGAGAAACACTAGACACAATAGGCGTATCAAAGAAATATGGCACTAGTAAAAGAAAAGAATAGCGCGAGAAACTCAACTAATCTACATGAAAAAAGTACGAGTTTAATCATACAGCTCCTCAACATCCATATCATTACCACCTTCCGCGTCTAGGGCATCCTCTCCCTCGATATAATCCATATCTTCGTCGTCCTCGACATCGCTATCGTGATTCGGTAGGACGATAAGCCGACGTCCAGTCTCGTCCATGGTGACATATGCGACTTCCCCTTCTCTAATAGCACCTCTAAGCAATAAGATGGCAAGCTTGTTGAGGACCTCCTTCTCAATGACTCTGTTCAATGGACGCGCACCGTAACTAGGAGAGTAACCGGCTTCGCCCAAATAGTCCCTTGCCTGCTCATCAACCTGGATTTGGACATTGCGGTTGTTGCTTTGTAGGCGCTTCTGGATATCGATCAACCTGAGGTCGACGATCCTACGTATCTCCCTCTTTGCGAGACGGTTGAATATGACGACGCTGGAGATGCGATTGATGAACTCGGGGAGGAAGTGCTGCCTTATCGCTTCGTTCACGAGTTCCTTCGTCGTTGGGTCGATCTTGCCGTCTGTTGAGTGGGAGCGAGAGGTAATGTAGTGGGATCCGAGGTTGCTCGTCATAATGATTACGGTGTTTTTGCCGTCCACGACTCTGCCAGTGGAATCTGTGATGCGTCCATCGTCCAGGAGCTGTAGAAGTACGGTGAGAACCTCCTTGGCTGCCTTCTCGATTTCGTCAAAGAGGAGGATAGAGAATGGGCGTCGGCGAAGAGCTTCGGTGAGTTGACCACCAGCATCGTGTCCAATATATCCGGGTGGAGCACCAATAAGTCTGGATACACTATGCTTCTCCATGTACTCAGACATATCAAAGCGGATCATGCTCTTAGGGTCATCAAACAAAAACTCGGCCAAACTTTTCGTCAGCAAAGTTTTACCAGTCCCAGAAGGTCCACAGAACAAGAAACTGGCGATTGGTTGGTTAGGGTTGCTGAGACCGCTTCGGCTCAATCGAATGGCATTGGCTACCGCTTTAACAGCCTCGCGCTGTCCGATGACTTGCTTCGACAGGTACTTCTCCATATTCAACAGCTTCTCCTTCTCGGTAGTCTTCAGCCTTGTCACCGGGATACCAGTCCATTTGGCCACAATCTCGTTGATCTGCTCGGGGCCAACCAGATCTGTCAACATAGGATTATTCTCGCCAGCGCCGTTTGCCGATAAAATGGCAGCGTCCTGCTCGGCTTCTAGCTTATCGGCCTCGAGCTTGGCAATATATTTCTTGAGTTCAGGGATAGCGTAATACTTCAGATCAGAAGCTATATCGATGTTTCCAACACGCTCAGCCTGCTCGCACTTCGCAGTGAGAGTATCAAGCTTCTTTTTCGCTTCCTGAAGCTCTGTCGACCGGCGTTTCTCGGACTCATACTTTTCGCGTAGAGGCTTGAGTTCTTCCTCGACATTCGCCGCCTCCCTCTTTGCATCGTTAAGCCTTGTCCTAGAAGCCTCATCTTTTTCACGCTCAAGAGCATGAATTTCGATCAAGAGTTGCCTATGGCGGCGTTGGAGAGTGTCGACAATTTCGGGAGCGGATTCTCGAGTGACACGGACTGCAGATGCGGCCTCGTCGATCAAATCAATAGCAGAGTCAGGAAGACGACGCGCAGTGAGGTATCGAGATGCAAGAGTAGCGGCAGCAACGATAGCTCCGTCGCTGATCGTCACGCCGTGATGCACCTCATAACGCTCCTTAAGACCTCGAAGAATTGAGATGGTTTCGGGAACGCTCGGCTCTGGACACAAAACTTGCTGGAATCTACGTTCAAAAGCGGCATCCTTTTCGATGTATTTTCTATACTCCGCCAGTGTTGTGGCGCCAATACAGTGGAGTTGGCCTCTAGCGAGTGCGGGTTTGAGGAGATTTGCCGCGTCCTATAGAGGGAATTAGCCTATGTAGGGCCTACGTATTGGATGATAACAACTTACCATTCCACCTTCTCCAGTGCTCCCGGCTCCCATCAGCAGATGAATCTCATCTATGAAGAGTACAAGCATTTGCTTAGAATCTTCAATCTCCTTCAACACTGCCTTCATGCGATCCTCGAATTCTCCCCGGTATTTCGTTCCTGCGACGAGAGCTCCGACATCGAGAGAGATTAACTTGCAACTAAAGACAACGTTAGAGGATTTCTTCGGGATAGGAAATTGTGTGGATTGTCACTTACCTAGCTAGGTTCGCAGGAACATCGGCATTGATTATTCTGGTTGCCAACCCTTCCACAACACTGGTCTTCCCAACTCCGGGCTCACCAATAAGAACGGGATTGTTCTTCGTCCGCCTAGACAAGATCCGAACAACACGAAGAATCTCTTGCTCTCTTCCAATGACCGGGTCCAATTTCCCATCTCTCGCCCGCTGAGTGAGATCAATGCAGTATTTTGAAAGAGTCTCGCTCTCCACACTCCCTTCATTCTGTGAATCCACTCTCTTGGTCCCACGCAAAGATTGGACCGCATCGTCGAGAAGGGAGACTTTTGGAATTCCGGCTTCAACTATTAGTTTTTGAATCCCCGAATCCTGGGCCACCGCCGAAATCAAGTGATCTTGAGCAACGTAGGAGTCGCGCTGGGTTTTTTGTAATTTCTGAGCTTCGCGGAGGACCTTGGAAAAGGATGGTGAAACTGAAATGTGGTCTGGTGGTGGCTCCTGCGAAGGCATCCGTACCAGCGCCTTCTTGACCGCTCGTTCGAATGTCTGAAAATCTCCATTTGCCTTATCGATCACCTGGTGAAATAGTGAGGGCGACGACGGAGCTGGCGCCGCTCCCGCCGGTGCCGTGCCACTTTCGACTTGTGGTCCATTCATTAAGGCAAAGACAAGATGTATCGGAGTGACCTACGAAACACAGACATAATTATTGGCAAACTGCGCCTCCAATTTGGCATCCTGCTAAACGGCAAGGGATCAAGATAGAACATACCTGTGGGTGAGCATATTGAGATGCGCAATCCTGTGCGTCCGATAAGGCTTGGGCGGCCTTATCTGTGTATTGTGAACTCGCCATTATTGATCTATGTTTATAGCCCGTATTAGATTCTTTTGGTTTGTAGAAGGAGGTCCGAATTATTCCTCAAGGGGTTTAATGGTAATTGATGAAGCAGAGTTGGAATTAAGGGAGGGCCTTTGGGCGAAGAATTTATACATCGAGGAGGGGAAGAAGGAGGGCGGTTGTTCGAGAGGGTGCTAAAATCTAGGCTGCTCTCGTCGGGACGTGGGGTCGCTAGAACTCACAAGAAGCTTCTGAGATAGAAAGTCTTGGCACCCTCTCCTTGTATTGGGGCAAAGTGTTCCCTTTTTGACATTAATTAGATTTCAGCCCTTACCAGGAAGTGATGTCACTCATTCCATTGCAAATCATTCCTTGGCGTTGTCATACTATGATCCATATTTCAAGGTGGGAAGAACGTCATGGTGCACTCGTACGGCCTTTTCGCCTCGGAGGCGCAACACCATCCGAGCAGTCCACATCAACCCACAAGTCAACGATCGACCCGCCTGCCGATATTCCAACTGATCAGTGACTTGCTGTATCGGCCTTACTTGCACTTTCTCTGCTGCCGTGATGATGGTGATGCAACGAGTATGGGACTAGTGATTTTTAGAACTCAAGGCTACAGTCACCCGAGCAGACTGTGGTACGATATGATACATACACGCATCCGTCGCTTAACGCATAAGGGCAAAGCGGAGCCAGCGGATAATATACTACCAATTGTGGCTACTGCTGCAGGTAGTTAACCAACATTTGACTGAATTTTCACCCCATACTTGCAGCCGCAGCCAGGGGTAGGCCGGCGAAGGAGAGGGTGATTTCCCTAAGTTTGTCCAAAGGTCGTGGACAAGCCGCACCAAACGAGGCGGAATGGGAAGGAGTGGATGGGTCACGCAAAACAAGCAAACAAAATAAGAACACTAGGTCTCAATATTGTCTAGAAAAACCGAATCTAACTAAGGTGTTATGGTAATGACAGGAGAGAAGTACAAAGGGGGTGAGCCAGGTAAACAAAAACAGAAAAGAAATATGCAAATATATAAATATCAAAAACCAAACACCGCTATGCAACTACTCTGTAACTATCACTAGTCCATTATCACGAGGGTTTTGTATCCCTCTTACATAACAGGGACCCCGGCAGCCTTTTCCTTGAAGGCCTCCAATGTATTGCCCGATTCTGGGGGATTGATAGCAAACACCATACCGGCCTGGCAATGTGGATTACCATTTCCTGGCTGAGCACAGTAGAACCACTTCGGCTTGTCGTCATGGACGTTAACGGTGAAGAGTTGAGCACCGGGGGTATTCTCCTTGTTGGGGAGGAAGCCAGAATCGGTTCCTCCGTTCGGGAAACAAGGAGCGTCGAAGGACGATTCAGTAAGTGTGTGGTTTGCGGCGAGGAAATCGAATTGGATGACATCTCCAATATTGGCCTTGACGAATTCGGGATCGTACTTGAGAATTGTCACATTGCCTAAAAGGCCTCCGACTTTGACAGCGTGGGTTATGGCAGGCCCGGTAGCGGTTGGGGCCCCGGTGGTAGTGGGAGTTCCGGTGGTGGTAGGGGAGGGGGGGGCACCGACGGGGACGGCGGCCGCCAATTTCTTGAAGGCTTCCAAGGTTTTGTCACCAGTCTTGGGGGCATTGATAGCGAAAACCATGCCTGCTTGACAATGGGGCTTTCCGTTTCCAGGTTGAGCGCAGTAGAACCACCTTGGCTTGTCATCATCGACGGTGACGGGGAAGGTCATCTTTCCGGGGGTGTTCTCCATGTTGGGGCGGAAGCCAGAATCAATACCGCCAGCCTTTGGCACGCAAGGAGAATCGAAGGTGGATTCGGTGACGGTATGGTTATTGGCAAGAATGTCGAACAGGACAACGTCGCCAATCTTGACATCGGCAACATACTCGGGGTTATACTTGAGAATTGGGGTAGCTCCATCAAGACCTCCGACCTGAACGGTGTAGGTCGCAGCAGCGGCACCACCAGTTGGGCTAGGAGTTCCATCAGTCGTATT